AAAAAAAAAAAAAAAAAAAAAAAAGCGGCAACCGCCCTTTTCAAACTCGGGGCCTGATGTTACCGCCTTCTGATGTTATGACTGCCTTTTCTAACTGTGGCCATTTTTCCGTTGCCCATTAGTGTTTTTTTTGCCTTCACAGTTTGAAAGTGTGCTACTACCGCACTTGTTTCTTTTTTTTTTTTAAAGTCCATGGTGTTGTAGAGGCCGGTCACTGACTGCACAGTGATCACCTGGAGCTGTAGGCAGTGGGTGCCCTGAAGTTGAGACCACCTTCCCATCCCATCCTCACGTCAATACTCCTAGCGCATTCCCTATCCCACTATCCTACCTCAGTGTGACCAGCACTCAGGACCAGCACCGTACCAATGGGCAGGCAGCTTTGGACCGGACAGCGGTGACAGGCACCAGGGCTGGTTACCCAGCCCCGGTGGAAGCGGAGTCGGACGAGCCCTGTCGAACGAGGACTTCGAACGCCAGGCCTAGACAATCTACTACAGGTCTCATAGCCACTAGATAGTTCTACCCGATTATCAGCAGGAGCTCCGGTGACCAGCCTCGCCCCTACTACGACACACTAGACCCTACCCAGCGACCGACCCCCCCAGTCTGGTAGTTGGACAATTCGCAACCCATGTGTACATCCGAATAGCACCCTCTATGGCTAGGAGTATCATGTGTAGAGCAGGAACTCCGGTGACCAGCCTCGTACCTGCTACGACATACTGGTACGGTGTCCACACATGTGCCCATTGGTACGGTGCTGGTCCTGCTGATGTGGTACGGTGCATAGCACCAATTGGTACGGTGCACTCTGGAGTTCCTGCTGATAGTGGGCACCGTACCCTGTATGGCTAGGAGTATCATGTGACCCCCTGGAAGGCTATGTGTGCTCTGTGAATTGATATATGGAAGTGTACAGACAGCATCATGTGTATACATCGAAGAGAGAACGGGGCAAGCTGGACAAGAACCCCCCCCAAGGACAGAACCAAGCTCGAACCCTTGACCTTACAACATACAATCAAATGACTCAACCATATGAACGACCAATGGAAATGGAACGAACATGCGATATATCAGACCGGGGAGATCAGCAGAGCACCGAAGACCAACACCCCCAAAAAACCCATGTGCAACCCAGAACCAACATACAACACCATGAACTACCCTTGAGTGGTGCGCGCGCAGTGTCTGTAGTGTAGTAGTACCATTCCAGCCGTGCGTCACTCTAACGCCCTGCCGGTGTCCATGCGCAAGGCTGTGGAGTTTTGAACCCGCAACCTTATACCACAATGCGCATTTCCAACCGGTGCTCTAACCACGGAGCTACGTCAACTGGACATGTGGGCTGAGATCAGAGACTTCCCTTCGGGAATCTGCACGTCAGGCCTGCGAAATGACGCATCCCTCCTCGCTGCGAGCCGCCGTGAGGTCCAACTCGCACCCACTCAAAAATACTCTTCGCCGACCCTAGTAACAACAGTGTAAGGCCAATGGTCCCCTCTGAGAACTCATCAAATCAATTTTTTTATAATAACAACAAAAGAGCCAAAAAAAGATGCAGTCTAGACTGCATCTAGGGATTCTAGGCCGCAAGGTCAGTCCTAGTATTTGGTCGGCTATTGCTAAGCCGCAGGCTTACCCCATTTACATGGGGCAGATTGGTGATTCGTCGACGCGTGTCTGACGCCAGCCCATCTTCGAGGGAGCACACGATGCGCATCTCCTGCGCCGCCTCGGGGCCGAAGTTTGTCAAAACCCGTCTCCTGATGTGGGCGTGAGCGCTCTCTATGTCCTCAATAAGAGAACGCTCGCTGCTCACACCGTCTGCGGGCCTGTACTCAAGCAGAAGCTCTGCCCATTCAGTATCAGTTTCTCCCGTCATTTTCTCCCGCAATGCTGATAGCGCCTCCGCTAGTTCTTGTCCTTGGCCGTTCTTGTCTGTCTTGAAAATGGGGACTATCTTCACCTTCCGCGTGTCTTTCCCCATCCTCCGGTAGTCTTTTATAATACAACCGTCCCTTGAGAGCAAGGCGTACGAGCCGTCGATCTCCATGATCATGCCCCTACCTGAACTCACCGCCAAAGTCGGTACATACCTCGTGGTTATCCAGATGACCTCTTGTTCACCCATCATCTCCTCTGTAACGGTGCTCAACCAGACTCGCTGAGACTCACCGAACGTCGCACTCTCGTTTTTCCCGCCACAAAGCAGTAACACTTTGGCCGCCCCTCCTGGGCGAATCCTCCAGCTTGCCCCCCCCTTAAGGAATTTGTCAACGAGGCGAGGGTCTCGGAACCCACCTTCAAAAAGAAAGCCGTCAATCTCATCCTCCTTTACAAGGGCATTCCACATCTCCAGCGCTGCGCTTCCGGCGATTAGGATGTGCGTGCTGTCAGCCGCTTCGGTGCTCGTCAAATTCCCGATCACCCGCCTTACGTGCCGAACCGTCGAGACTACGGGGTTCTCAGAGTGCATGATAGTGTCATCTTGTCCCGGCGATGCCTTTGCCCAACACAAATGCCGTGGAGGCAGATAAGCGACAGCTATGTTTCGCCATTTGTGGCCAATCTCCCCGACAATGTCCTTGAGTTGCCCTTCACAGGCACGCTTCTCCTCCTCTAGAACATAAGTCAGATTACCATTCCAACTGTTTTGCCTGTCTCGATAATCTTGCACAGCTAGCGACACCTGGCAACCAATAGTCTTGTTCCACTTCGAGCAGAGAAGAGCCTGATCATCCGAATGACAAACGGGACCTGCCGAATGGAGCATGTAAGGGATTCGCTCCTCTTCAGGGTTTCCAGAGTAGCACTGAACGAAAAAATGTGTGCTGCTAATTCTATTCCCTTTATTTCTTCGATCCGCTCCTTTGTCTTGCGAAGCTCCTTGAGCGGCATGGGGACCACCACGTCAGAGCAATCTCCACTTAGCTTCGACATATTCTGTAGGCACTGATCGACGTCGTTCGACTCCCTGCAATCGACCACTAAGAACCTCCTTCCCGATAACGATCTCGCCCGCCACTCTCTGAGGTCGGTATACTTAGCCTCGTACTCGCTCTTTGCTAAAAGTTGCACTTCCTCGTCCAACGCCTTTACTATATTCTTCACAAAGAATTTTGACTTCTCGGGTACCCTGTCCGTGAGTAGCAAAATCCGCGCAAAAGAAACAAGCTTGTCTCGCCACTGCAAAGCTTCGAGCGTTTCATACTTCCCTTCGTAAACACTCTTCGGAGCCAGTTCCTTCTCCTCACGCAGCCACCCACACGTCTCGCCCACAATACCTCTGTGCGCAGCAGACAGCACATCGAAGCGTTCGTTTCGAATTTCCCATGCCAGGTCATGAAGCCTTCTTCTCGTAAGAAAAGTCTCTCACAAAACCTTGTCGTTCGCCTCACAGTCTGAACCCTCCTCTTCCTGCACGCTGTTATAAAGTCCCGGCCATTCTTTCTCCACAGAAACAACCCTTGTGGGCCTTGTCTGCAGTGCACCCTCCTCAAGCCATGCTGCAAGAATCCCATTCGAATCCACCTCAAGGAAAACCTTGATCTTCTGGCCTCTTTTCACCCGCTGCTCTGAGTTGGACAGGTCCAGCGGCGACTTCAGCCGTAGCGCACCCAACAACTTGTTATGCACGCAGAAATGTCTATCTCCTTCGTATAGGTTGAAGCGCACTGTGGTCTGCTCATCCTTCCCCATCGCGAGCTCCCAAGACCCTATGGTCGGAATAGGGGAACCTTTGGGTATGATCACAGACATTTCGCCCAAATCACCGCCCACGCCAATACTATGCGCCGTGATCGCCTGGATGATCAAGATAGGCGCCGCCAAGTCGTTCCGGCACAGAAAACCTGCCTGGGCTGCCGCCCGCTTCCGGCACAGAAGACCTGCCTGGACTGCCACCCCGTATGCAACCACCTCATCAGGGTTAACGGTCTGTAACGGCGCTCTACCATCGAAAAACTCAGTAAGCAGCACCCTCACCCGAGGTATCCTAGTGGAACGTCCCGCCAACACCACATCCGAGATCTGGTTCTTGTTCATACCCGCCCGTGTGAGAGCCTTCTCGACGACCGTTATGCACCTCTGAAACAGGTCTTCGTTCACGTACTCGAACTCAGCACGTTTTACGCAGATACAATGATCAAAGCTCCCGGCCTTCATCTCAATATCTGTCGACGTGTAAGTGGAGAGGGTGTGCTTTGCACTAACAACTAACTCTCGAGAGAACGGGACGACCTCAGCACCATCGGGGATGTCCGAACACTCAAGCTTCGTCTTTTTCACCGCGAGCATGGTGAGCCTCCTGTCGAAGTCTGCCCCCCCCAGAAGAGACTCGCCTTCAACCCCTCTGACAGTGAAGTCGTACAACTCATTTACTCCGTCCTTGACTTCGATGATGGCTACGTTGAACGTCCTTTTTCCTAGATCGAAAACCAAGATAAAGCTTCCCGCGCGATCGCCCGGTCAAAGCCGTTGGTGCCTGTACGGGACCGCTGCCGCCGTCGGCTCACTCATCAACCTTAGCACGTTCAGCCCCGCCAGACGGCCGGCCTCCAATGTCGCTTCGCGCTGGCTGTCCTGGAAGTGCGCAGGGACAGTGATCACCGCATTCTTGATCTCGGGGTCGTTAAGAAATCTCTCCGCAATCTTCTTCATCTCCTTCAGCAAAATGGCGGAGATCTCCTCCGGCTTGAATACTCGCTTACCCGATCGTCATGGAATACAAATCAGGGCCTGGCCGTATGGCCCGGATTCAACGTCAAAGGGCCAGGACTGCCTCATCTCCTCGAGCTTCGGATCATGGATAGACCGCCCCATCAAACGCTTCACCTTGAAGACACAGCGTTTCGGATACTTCACCTGACATGCCCTCGCCGTGTTACCCACCAGAATTTCTTCCGATCCCTCCCTAAAAGCAACGGCGGACGGTGTGCTCCGCTGGCCAAGAAAGTTGGGAATGGATGTGACCTCCTTCCCCATCAACACTGCCACACAGCAGTTATAAGTACCGAGATCGATTCCGAGGGCTGGTCGGCATTCCATCTTCTACTCGACGGTCGTAAGTCTTTCAGAATGGAGCCTGTCTCTTATACACATCTAGATGTGTATAAGAGACAGCGGGGAAACAGGACGGGTCGGATGGGTGAGCTGT